GTCGATCTACGTTCCTACCTTCATCCATGGTCTCGAGCTTTGAGTAGTGACTGAAAGAATGAGATCATAGATACAAGCGGCCAAAATGAGTTTTCTCCACAGTGTCTGGGCTCTTCCTTAGAGATAGGGTGAGAAGCTCAGCCTTCCAGCATCAAAGTAGATCTGCTGCTCCTCCACAATGAGAGGAGCTAGTTGAGGTGGCTTGGGCATCTGGTTAGGATGCCTCCTGAATGCCTCCCTGGTGAGGTTTTCTGGGCACGTACAACCGGGAGAAAACCTAAAGGGATAACCAGGACACGCTAAAGGGACTATGTCTCTCGGCTGGCCAGGGAATACCTTAGGATTCCCCCGGAGGAGCTGGCCCAAGTGGCTAGGGAAAGGGAAGTCTGCCTCTCTCCTCTGGATACTGCCCCCGTGACCCAACCTCAGATAAGGAGAAAAGAAAGGATGGATAGGTTCACTATTTGGAAGTTCATAATTAAAAATTATGCTCCTGACATAAACTAGCTCAGTGGTTCCCAACTTTACCCCCTAAAGGGGCCCTGAAAAGGTTCGAGGGGGTCCCCACAGTTTTGTGTATGCTGAGGTTGGGAGGTTTCCAAGATTATATTTTTTAAAATTACATTTATAAAATTCAGATAACACACCCAATAGTAGAATCAAAATTCTTTGTAAAAGGCATTTCTTTGCATGTCTGTATAAAAGTTCTAATTCATAACTTTTATTGTGTGTATGCATATAGCAATTGGGATTGGGGGGCCTGGTTTGTCTTGGACACAGGAAAGGAGGTACTTGTGAGAAAAGGTTGGGAATCTCTGAACTAGTTCATGTTTATCATCAAAAAAGTTGCCAAATGTCTGTAGATGACATTGTTTGTCAATTAACATTTTAACCCTCTCAGGCTCAAAATAAGTTTTGATAAAAGGACGAACAACTAAGTCCTTCAGGGTACTTCTGAGTTAAAAAATGCTCATGAAGTACATATGAGGAGTAACCAGGTAGGTAGGTTTTAACGTTGCAAATCTGTAACACCTGCCTCCAGAGGGTTAATAATGTTATATCATAAGGTTTGCTATCTGTTCTATGCCAGCTAATTTACATCTGTTTGCCTCTTTTCTACTCTCAGTAATTTCATATGGCCAAATTCCCAATAAAGCTGCTCTCATTCTCATATTTTTCGTTACTGCTGCCAGAAAGCAAAAGAAATCTGAAATAGTGACTGAAAAGAAGCTCATCAAGAAACAGTCACTTCCAAAGCCACTTTTAAAAGTCCTCATTTAATTCAGACACAGCTGATAAATCCTGCACTCACCTATGAAATGCATGTTGTGATTTTAGGCAACACTTGCATATGCAATATGATGATAAATGATAAATGACCCGCACTTGTATAGCACCTCTAAGAGTAAGGACTCCAAAGCGCTTTACACTACAGTGTATCATTCATCCATTCACACACACATTCATACACTGGTGGGGATGAGCTACAGTGTAGCCACAGCTGCCCTGGGGCGCACTGACAGAGGCGAGGCTGCCGAGCACAGGCACCACCGGACCCTCCGACCACCACCAGCAGGCAAGGTGGGTTAAGTGTCTTGCCCAAGGACACAACAGCAGAATTCTCTGTCCGGAGTCGGGATCGAACCTGCAACCTTCCGATTACTGGACAACCCGCTCAACCTGTTGAGCTACTGCTGACCCAATAGTCTGAAAAGAAGCCAGAAATAACACTAAAAAAGAAAGAAAATGATATTTGGTATAGCGCCTCTGTTACACATCCTCTGTAACTCATCTAGGCAGGTGAGGAGGTGGTAACATAAAACGGACAAGTCAGGTGTTTATTAGAAGGTTTAAACTTAACTAAAAAGGGTGATATGGGGAACTAAAGGCGAGGCTTTTCTAAAAAGCCTGAACTACACCTAACTGTAGTTATATATATATATATAAGGATTCTGAGTTCTATAATATGTCTGAATTACTAGAGCATCTTTCAGCCATCACCAGCTGGCTAGTAGATGACTTTCTCTAGTTAAACTCTGAAAAGAATGAATGTCTGATCATTGCCACTGATAGCATGGTTCCCCTGATTAGTTTAAAACTTGGTAATTTATCCTCTGCCGTCAAGACAAACTTAAGGAATTTGGGTGTTGTTTTTGACCAATCAATGTCTCTTGAAGGCAACTCAAAAACATTGGTCCAAAACTGTTATTATCACTTAAGAAATATCTCCAAACTGTGAAGGTTGGTGTCCAAACATGAACTTGAATTGGTTATCCATGCCTTTATCTCCTCCCATCTAGATTACTATAACACACTCTTCACATATTTTAACAAAAAAGCCCTTGACCACAAGTCAATTTAGGTGGCGATTGTTTGAAGTAGATCTGTCAGACTTTTCAAATCCTAGAGTTTCACAATCTATTTTCTATCAGAAGCTAATACAGGAGATAGGTGTAGGAGACTGTTTTCATGTTCAGTCTGCCGATTCTAATCAGAAATAAGGTTAAAAATATTTTTTCGGCGTTCCACACCTTTAAATTTACTGGCTTGTATCAAATAATGTTGAACAAGTCTTCTTTCATTGTCAGTGATCTGACAAATGCTTTGAACCACCAGCAGAAATTGTGTATTTAGAGACTATTAGAAAGTGAGATCTTCGCCAAAGCTGTTTAAAATTTCAAAAGTCGCTGGTCTCTGATGCTGGCTGGTGTAGAAGATGCCTGGGTAAATAAATGTCAGCTTTTCCTCAAGGCTGAGGTTTAACAGTACCAGGGCCTCTAACCAAGTCAGCATGGAGCAGAGGCATTACAGTTCATTTGCAAACTTACAATAAATTTTTTGAAAAGAATATTTAATGAAATATTAATGTGTTGCAATACAACAGTGGAGTCAGTAGTTTGACCCTCCATCCTGGTGCTCAGTTCCAACACAAAGCTGAACCTCATGAGGAATATTTTACAACGAGGGGTATTGATCTTTTGCTATGAATAAAAATAAGTTTAGTTCCAAACCTGCAGAGGATCTCAGATAGTTTTTAATCAGTCATGTGTAACAATGTTTGAGAAATGCAGCGCTAGCTCGAATTCCTGAAGGGAATCAGCAGCTTTTCCTCAGATGCTGATCACACTGTGTTGCCTCTTGAAAAATCAGAGTGAGGCATAATTGTGCAGACCATAATGGAAAACCACCATTTATTGTTGTTCTGTGGAACGTTTGATTCCTGACTATATTCAGCTTTGTTTGAGCTTGGCTCAAAAGAACATTTTAGTCCATAACCTATGAATGTCGTTTTCAGACTGACAAAATTTTGTTTGATTACAAAACATCACCTAAGTGAACGATGTTACTTTTACGGACTTTTGTTAACTGAGCTTTTATTTTTGTGTATTTAGGGTATTTTGTATGGTTTGGTTGTACACTGTTGTCTCTGAGGTAAAATGTTGCAAGGTGCATTCCCAAAGGAGTTAACTTTTTCCAGAGGGTTCTCAGTTTCCTGACATAGGACCTCAGTCTTGTACTTGTGAAATTTTGGCAAATATTCCTCTGAAATTGACTACAGTCGTTCTGGACATCCAAAGCCTGTTTGGAACCATTCTAAAGTGAGTTTCAGGGAATCAGAAAGTTGGAAGTTTGGAATAACTTGGTGACAAATACCAATAAAATCAGTGTCAACTGCAACAAATTAAACTCAAACTATGTTTGTTGTTTCAGAGTTTTATGACCTGTAACGTGTGTCTGGGGCACTTGATTCCCTCAGCAATATGCAATGAGCAGTATGCTTACTTAGCTAAGTCCTTAAAGGATATTTTCCTGGACCTTCCCCCTCCCAGAAATCAGGTTGTGGAAATACAGCTAAAATTAGCCCTCCAAGCAGCCTACTGGGTCAGTGAGCTAAAGCACATCCAACCACCAACAGTCCATTGACCGCTCTCATGTTCTTTAACTCATTTGTACAGGTGTGTTGTTTTATGGCATAAATAACCAAATGTACTGACAAGCTAAGTCTGTTGTTGTCACCGTGTGCGTTTAGGTGTAAACGCATGTTTATGTAGCGACACAAGGACTCAAAAGGGGCCCAGCTGGGAGGAACACATGTATACAGTATGTGCGTTTTGGAACACCTGAGACACAGACAGTAAATACCCCAAAACCGTATCCATACTTTTATCTCCTCTTTCACACTGATGTTTCTTTTTACTTTTATAGAAATGTTTTTTTTAAACTCATTGATCTATAACATGTCTTACAAACCTTCTCTTTGTTCTGTTCCCGTGAATCCCTCAGTTCTTCATGAACTTTCTCCTGGATTGGATTTAGCTAAAATGCCAAGTGAAAAGGTCACGGAGTTACCGTAGCGATCCATGTATGCTATATCGAAGATGGCTGACGCGGGAATGGAATTAAGTTTTAATGGAAATGCATTTGGAAAAAGGGCTGGTAGGGGTTTAATAGATTATGAGAATCATTTGATCCAACAATTCAGTTTCATTCGCCGCTCCGAGGTCTTCGGGGACGTCTGTCAGAGAAGTTACCTCAAACATCTGTTTTCCTTCTATGTGCCCTCTGTGTGATGCTGCAGAGTGTGTAGGTACACTGTTGGTTCAGATGAAGAAAAAATCTCCTTACAAACGGAAGAAAAAGAAAAAACAAAGAGAGCTAGAGGGGAAAAAGGCACAGAAACAAGACAAGGAAAGGACAGCTGATATTTTAAAGGTGTGGGTTGGTTGCTCTGTAAACTCTATTTAAAGCCCGGCAGCATCTGCTCAGCACCCCTGTGTTTTCATCTGGTTTGATTAGATGGCACTGAGGGACACACACACACACACACACACACACACACACACACACACAGCCTTCCAGGACTGTTAATTCCAGTTTCGCAGTTTGATTTAACCACCAGATGTGAAAGGGACCTTTAGTCTCTCACAATCACACTTTTTGAAAACTTTGGTGTTACCTGATATTAAAACAAGCATGCCGTGTGTGATTGTTTGTTCTAGTAACAGCACATCAGGAGGCGCCTACATCAAACAGTGCTGTAAAGGTTTTTGTATCGACATCCTAAAGAAGATCGCAAGGAACGTCAAGTTTACGTACGACCTTTACCTGGTCACCAACGGGAAGCATGGGAAGAAGATCAACAACGTTTGGAACGGCATGGTCGGAGAGGTATGACACTCTGCTCTGTCAGTCAAACTCACTGTTGGTTTCTTTTAAAGGTGTGGAATGCTGAAAACACATTTTTAATCTTATTTCTGATCATAATCGGTCACTCCGAGATTTTCATGCAGGCTGAACATGAAAATAGTCTCCTCCACCTATCTCCTTCGTTAGCTTCAGATAGAAAATAGATGGTGAAGAGATTAAAAAAAACGTGACAGACCTACATCACTATGTCACTTAACATTCATGGACTCACCCATCTTGACTTGTGCTAGGGAAGACTGTTGTTGGTTTAGCGTCCTTGAAACAGCAGAAAAAGTCTCGGCAAGTAGAAGCTAACGGTTAGCGTTAGTAACTCCACCACACAGCAGAACTCCTCTAGGCTTGTGTTATTTGTGGAGATAAAACATCAACATTGTAGCCAGTGGTAGAGTCACGTTGCTGTTAACCAATCCGAGGTGAGATGTCCAAATATCAGGAAATAAGACTCCAAATCCTGCTGTCTGAAGCTCAGCTATGATCTGGCTGAGTTCTAGTTCCTGAAAATACTGCACCAGGGCTTTTTTCCCCTGAGTACAAGTTACAAAGCATTCATTCCTACTAGGGACCACTGCACATGTGCTGATTAAACGAGTGTTCAACACTCTTAAATCAAATCAAATGATCTGTATTCAGTGTACCTCTTTATTTAAGCTATGGTGTCTGTTCTCCCATCTGCAAAACCTATCTGTCTTCATACTAATTCTAGACCTCTTAGATCAGTGGTTGCTACACTTTCCACCTCTTGACCCATAAAATAACAATGGCGGGCACTTGTGGATGTATTTATTTTGTTGTCTATGACTTTGTTATTTCTTTTACAGGTTTGATTAACAGTAATGTAAAGTAGTTTTTGGGGTTATTTCGCAGCACTTGCTCAAAACGGGTTGTTTTAAACATTCTTTAAAGTTGATTTCAGTCACACAAAAGTGTGTGTCACTCAGTTGTAACATTATTCTTTTAAATGGGAATAATGCATCTTATTATATATAGAGTTTGTTTAACTGTTCAGGATAGATCTGTACATTTGGTGGCTTCCTTGTTTTCTATGAATCCCTTCATGTTGGGCTCTTCTAGCTAAAACATGTTTGGTGTAAGGAACTGTGAGAAAGAGGGGAACAGAGATGTGTTTGAGAATGTGCAGTTACTTGTCAGAAAACGTGTGTAATAGGGCCCACATTCAGGCCAAGCAATGGAAGAAAAAAATAAACTTGAAACATAATGACAACGTCCCTTCGCTTCAAGGGCACGTCCAAAACGTTGGAAAATAACTCATCCAACGGAGGCTAATTGTCGCATATTACATTTTGCGGCCGTTACGCATCACTTTCACTTTCAGTGGAAAGAAAGGGGCAGACAAAGTTGAATTACAGACATAAATGGACTTTTGCATCATATTCAGAATGAAATGATTTTGTAATAAAGTTGTATGGAAAACAATCCATCAGTGTTGAAAGTGACGATGAAATCTTTTGGTACAATCCTTATTTATGTTGACATTTAGGGAAGCAGGTTGTTTAAAAAATTTAATTTGAAAAGACGTCTTTTTGCAAATAAAAAAACATCTCTGAGAACAAAATGTCTGGATGTCAGAATAACGTCTAACACAAATGTCGTCACTGTGAAAAAGACAGCTGTATTTTTTATGTGATACAGCTGAAAGGGCCCTCCAACTACCGCTGACATTTTCTGGGACACTCACAGTCATTGTGATATTTTCAATAAAATAAAAAGGACAAAACGCATCAGAGATATATTCTATGATCTTGTCCAAACATTTACAGAGCTTGATGTTTTTCCCCTTCGAAGCACGAACTCTGTGTAAACGTGGTTTTATGTGTTTGTCAGGTGGTGTATAAGAAGGCCATAATGGCCGTCGGGTCTTTGACCATCAACGAAGAGAGGTCGGAGGTCATTGACTTCTCTGTGCCCTTCGTAGAGACGGGCATCAGCGTCATGGTGTCACGGAGCAATGGAACTGTCTCTCCTTCTGCCTTTCTTGGTAAATCTTGGCAAAAAAATTTTTTTATATTTCTTACTTTTTTCATCCAGCTGCATATTCCCAGTGAGCCGACTGCACAGGGTCATGGTGACAGGGAGGGGCATACTTGTTGGCGATAGCCGGAACATAAAATGGAATATTTCATTCCCACTGCACGTGCTGGCCAAATTCCACTTGTCCTCTGATTTTATCTGGGCCTCAACACCCTGAGCACATTAATATTTCTACCAGAGCAGAACAAGTGGAGCATGCCAGATGTTTTTTTTTTATTTTCTTTTTAAAAGTCAGTTCAGACAAACCACTCTTGATTCTTGCCTCCTCCTCCTCTTTTCCAGTTGTTGAGATGACTAGAAACCGAAGCGCTCTTCTGTGCTTGCCTAATGTCTTGTATTGTCATCGGAGCGAGACAGAGAGTGGGAGGGGGGTGGTGAGGGTGGGGGTGTTAGACCATGCGTGTATTGATCCCTGTGTATCAGGATATGTGTCAGTAATCCTGTATGTTAAAAAAAAAAAGTTTGTGTCACAGCACTAATACACTGGGACATTTGTGTAAAGAGGACATGTGGAGAATGTGGCCATGTTTATGTTGATGGATTTGTGTAAGCTTTTACGTGACCGTGTGTGTGAGTGGGGGGGCTGAGAGCATGGCCCACAGTATCAGTGACGGTTCAGTATCTCTCGCACTCATATTAGAGGCACCTCAGCGCACAATCTCTCAGGGTTGGCTAACTCTGGCAGTCACATGCAGTGACGCACACACACACACACACACACACACACACACACACACACACACACACACACACACGAACGATTTGTCTGGGTTCAACATATCTGGCACTCATCCCACTCACTGAACTCCTGCCCTAGTGCACACCAAACACAGACTCATACAAATAGATCACATACACAAGCCCACAGCAGGGCACATCAGATCACCAAGAGTTTGATTCTCGTCTCTCCCACCTCTGTCTCTCCCTCTTTCCCTCCACCATTTCCCCTGCCCCAAGCTTCTCCCTCTCTCAGCTCTCATCCGAGGGAATAATGAAAAATATGGAAATCTGTGCCGTCAAACTCTCTGTGACTAACTCTCCCTCTCCTTCCTCTCCTTCAGCTCCCACTCTGGCTGACTCTTCTCTCTTCGTCTTCTCCATCAGCTTTTTGTTTCTCCCTCTCGACTGTGTTGTATTTTTGTCCCCCACTCCTTCCTTATTTCATGCATCTCCTGCTCCTCGTCAACATCTCTCCGTCTCAAGGAGTCAATTTCACTTAAACTGTGTCTTCTTCTCTTGCCTTCTCCTAGAGCCCTTCAGTGCATCGGTTTGGGTGATGATGTTTGTGATGCTGCTCATTGTCACAGCCATTGCTGTCTTTCTGTTTGAGTTTGTCAGTCCACTGGGCTTCAACCGCAACTTGGCCCAAGGCAAAGGTAGGTTAACGCACACATACAATCAGGAATATCACACCAATCATTCCTCCCAGCAGTAGGAAACAAGAATCCAAGTTTCCCCTGAAGCAAAAGAAGTGACCTATTATTGCTCCGACTTCAGTCAGTTCAGACAAAGTTAGATCGGATTATCATTTTTCTCCTAAAGCTACTCACAGAAACTGATGTCTGAAGCGTCATCAAAAACCAGAACCTGCAGCTGACCTGTTGGCTCTGGGCTGGAGATGGATGACCTCACACACACACACACACACACACACACACACACACACACACACACACACACACGCACACACACACACACCAACCACCAGAATTTCTGTGAGGTTTTTTTTCACAGCGTGTGCGTGGCCATTTTAGTGATCAACCAAGTACCTGAACTGTGCCATGTACTCGGAAACATCCAGGTAGAGACGCTGGGTGGGACTTGTGGTTACCTCATGCTGATTGGTTGTAAGTCAGTAGGAAATTATATCAGCAGACACCAATAAATAATTGTCATTTGTAAAAGAGAAGAGTTGCTGGTGAAGCAGAATGGAAGGTGGAAAAAGCCACATTGATGCAGCTCTAGAATCGCTGTTTCTAAACTACCTACGACAAAAAATCCCCCCATTTCCGTCATTTATTGCTGCGTTATTCTTCTGGTCACTGAATGCCACGTTTTACTTCACAAAGCCCTTTTCCCCTGTCCCCTGTACAGATTCAATTACAGCATATGAAGAACAAAACTTTTAATGTTGTTAATGTCTGCAGGTGACTTTTATTACTTATCAGTGAGGTCACTCACTGTTGCACGGCTGCAATATTCAGAGATGTAACAGTCCTGAAAGGGACAGTTTTGTATGGAGACACAATTGAATTCAATTCAAGTTTATTAATATAGCGCCAAATCACGACAAGAGTCGTCTCAAGGTATTTCACATAATAAACATTCCAATTCAGGTCAGTTCATTAAGCCAATCAGAAATAACGTTTCCTACATAAGGAACCCAGCAAATTGCATCAAGTCACTGACTAGTGTCAGTGACTTTACAGCCAATCCTCATACTAAGCAAGCATGCAGCGACAGTGGAGAGGAAAACTCTCTTTTAACAGGAAGAAACCTCCAGAGAATCCTGGCTCAGTATAAGCAGCCATCCTCCACGACTCACTGGGGAAGGAGAAGACAGAGCAGACACACACACACACACACACACACACACACACACACACGCACGCACGCACACACGCACGCACGCACGCACGCACACACACACACACACACACACACACACAAAGACAAGTAATGTGTCTATAGTTATATTGTGATTTGTTAGTAAATATTCTATTTGGTGAGAGATAAACTTTATTGTATTCATCCTAGTGGATCTATAATTAAACGGATAAACTAGTAGTAGCACACCAAACCTGAGAGGAAAGTATCCCCTCCACCCCTTTTATGTCTTCATAATGGAGGGTTGCAGGTTCAAGCCCCGCTCAGTCTGTTGCAGATGTTGTGTTCCTGGGTATGACCCTTCATTCACCCTGCCTGCTGTAGGTGGTCAGAGTTCAGCAGCCTTGATTCTTTCAGTGCACCCAGATGTGGCTACATTGTAGCTCATCATCCCCAGTGTGTGAATGGGTGAATGGCTGATGTGTTGTAAAGCACCTTGGGGGGTTGTAGAACTCTAGAAGCTGCTTAAATAAAATACAAGCCATTTACCATTTTGTATTTGTAAATTCCATTATTAATGGCAACCATTTAGAATTGGGTTTATTCTGAATGGTATTCATTTACAGAGAAACACCAAAGTATTTCTTTCTGAGAGTTTCAATAAAACTGATCCAGCTAATTTTTATGAAATAATAAATCTTTTATTAAATGCACAAAGACACAACCTAAGTCATTATTGTCCACTCCTAACTTTAAGCATTTTGAAATGTTTGGATCTGCATTGCATCATCAGAAACCACTATGGCTTTCTCATCTGACTTGAGCAAGTACAAACACACTCTGATTAACCAAAACAGTGTAACAATCCACCCAAAGGTTTTACCAAGTCCTTCACATTCTGTGAGAACGTATTGTGAAATGGATAAAGGACTTGTGGGTCATCACAGTGGAGTCTGGTACAAGTATGCTAGAAGGACGACTTTTAGGCACTCAGCTCCCCCGCCTCAAGTGTTTTTAGATCCATCCCCAGTAACATTGTGGCTGCTATGTGGAGTGTCTGCAACAGGAACATTCAGAGCAATGCCAGGGTGTCGGTTTTAGAGCATTGCAACATTTTTTTACTCACTTACCCTATCAGTGGTTTAATGGTTGCCTGCAGGTACCATCACCATCTTACCTAAAACTCAAAATCCTATTTTAGTTCAGTAACTTTTTTTCCCTCAGCACAGCCATAAGTCTAAAAAACGATTTTATGTTATGTGAGTAAGATTAGACCAGATGATGAATTGTGTTTCACCTCCTGCATTTGCTCATGGCTTTGCATGAATTTGTCAAAATTAAGTTTTGGCGCCAACCGTTTGTTTTTACGTGAAACCGCTGCTACAACTTGTCTTTGGTAAATGCCTCTGGAACCTATAGGCACCATTAAATACTGAAATCCCTAAAGTTATTATGGTCATGCCAGTGTGACCCTGTAGCCTTGCTAAACAGAACAGCCTCTTTTCTAATGTCATGTTGCGTCTCAATAATCCATCACTAACTACTCAACAAACCCTTCAAATTAGAAAAAAGCTAAATTATAAAACTTCAGTTTCTCTTTGTGGAGGCTCTTTTGTTGTTGAAAGTCCCTGAAAATGTAGTTTTGATTGTCAAATAATTGTGTACCTTTGTAATAAACAATGTATGTGTAGCTTGGCAAGCTATCCTATAAATGTAAACATAGTCTGGCCGTGACCCGTCGAAAAGGCCCAGTCGTGGGCCGGAATCTGCTGTTTTCTTTTAAACTGTCTCTGCGCACAATTGGACAGGATGAGAACCAATCAGAGTGATGAACATCATTATGTATTCATCTCTACAGAAATTAGCGCAGTCCACCATACACTGTCAAAAAAGAAGAAGCAAATACATCCTTTTTCTAAATAAATTACTTGAGTACCTCTGTCTACTCATTCAGACTCAAGTCTAAATCATCCAAGGTTGATGCCAAAGCTGTTTCAAACAAACTGTTCCTAAAGCCTTTTTTACTCATAGCATTCAGCTCTACCTCACACTGTACAACCTAGTTCTTGGATGTGACCTGACTGCTCACACTGTACGTCCGCTAGCAACACGGACCTAAAAACATGCTAAAAATAGCCATTTTTACACAACACATCTGACTTTTTATTGTGTTGTTATTGATGTCTGTTGTCCCTCGGGATTGTCATAGGAGAACCCACGAGGATTTATGGTGATTGGAGGAGGAAGATAAAAGAAAGAAAGTGAATCAATGTTTGTCGGTTTAATTTGACATAAACACGACAAACGCTTTTTTGACAGTCCTTGTCTGCAAAACAAAGTGTATGAATAAAAACGAACGACGTGTGTTAATAGGGAAATAACTGGCAAGCCATGTTGGTGCATTTTTGCGCATGCGCCGTGAGTGGCTCTGGTACTTTTTGGGTCACAGCCACTCACACCGCTGCTTCAACAGTGCGATACCCTCAAGAGGGACGAGCAAAATATCAAACACGCCAGAAATCTGTGAGAGCTTTTGATTGCTAATCGGTAACTGGTCACGTGGTGTTACATGCCTCTCATAACTTCTTGTATACTACATGACGCTCAGCGCAAAACTTGCCCTGATCTCGTAGATTCTCACATGAGGGGAGAATCGGCTCAAAAAAGAGAAAAAGTCGCACAGTGTACGCCCAGCCTAAGCAGACACCATCTTTGCAGCTCTGGTGCTTAACCTGCCCAATAAACATAGAGGGCTCTGATTGGCAAGACACAAAACTGGTTAGGCCAATGGTAGGACCTGCTGAGGCTACATAGAAGCCAAAATCTGTTGATGTTGCTGCGGTTTGTATAGATTTTTATGCTAATATTTGTGTTATTTCTCTGTGGCCATTGATTTCTTTTGTATCTGACTTAGATCCCCAGAGGAAAAAACACAATCTAGGTGAGACTAATGGGCTTTTCCCATCTGTACCGGGTCGGCCCCGGCCGGGTAGCGTAGGTTGTTTACATATCTGGGTGGCCTGGTATTTTTCCGGGCCAACCAAGGCTCATTCTCAGCCCTCTTTTCGAGGGGGTCTGCTTCAGGCCGACCAGGGCCAACACCCCCACTGCTGACAGCAAATTCACACCTTCCATTAGAGCAAGCCTCTGATTGGTGGGTAGAATCAGCCCACATGGGCTTAAGACAAGGATGTGTCGAATCAACCGACTGGGGCTACCTGGCCCGGGCCGACGCGGTACAGATGGGAATGGCCCATTAATTAGTACTTAGAAATACTTCTTTGGTGTTACCACCTGTTAACTCTATATCAGAGATTCATAAACTTTATAGTCTCTGGCCCACAAGATAACTGCAATCTCCACTATCACTGGTCAAAATCAACAATTATTGCCAATTAGCCTGAGAAAATAGTTTCAGCAACCATTATAAGAATTTTGTCCATTTAAGACTGCTATTGGAAACTTTTTTTTTGTAAAAACAATAAAAATCACAGTCATGTCAATATTTTTACAGCTGTTTAGAATAACAAAGTAATCTCCAAGCCCTCTTTTTGGTGTTCATGGCCTCCTGCTTTCCTAGGTCTAAGTATGATAACCACTGGGCTAAATGAAGCAAAAGAAAAGGAAGATAAAATGAGATTTAAAAAGGTAAATGACTGACTGCTGCACTAAATCAAGTGAAAGTTATAGACTTTTTACGAAATATTAAAGATTTTCTTCTAACGCTTCAGTTTTAAGATACATTATAGGAAACAAAATGAAAACTAGAATTTTTATTCCCTGAGCTGTGTGTGTGTGTGTGTGTGTGTGTGTGTGCGTGCGTGCGTGCGTATGTGTGTGTGTGTGTGTGTGCGTGCGTGTGTGTGTGTGTGTGTGCGTGCGTGCGTGCGTGCGTATGTGTGTGTGTGTGTGTGTGCGTGCATGTGTGTGTGTGTGTGTTTTATTTTCCTTTTTTTTTAGCCAGTGTATGCTAAAATTACACTTTATAGGGTTAATCAAATGTCTCTCAGACCCTCACCGCCTCTTGTGGCCATACCGCACTTGCAACTTCAGAGTGGCGGTCCAGTCCCTCTTGGACTTAGTAAAGTGTAGCTGACATGCCCGGCACTGCAGTCTGCTTCTAGCATGTTTCAGATCATGAACACAGTTGATTTGTTTGATTTAGGGATGAACTGCTCCTGCAGAAACAAATGAAGGCTGGGGAGACATTTCAGCTGTTAGATTATGGTGTTAAAAAGTCAAACACACAGCAAGGAGATAAATTTCACTTTCAGTTCAACTGGACCCTAGGAGATGCTACAAGCAAGCCAAAATTGCAAAGTATCTCTTTAATTCCTCGATTCTTCAGTCTGTAATTTATTTTCCCTCTTTTTTTTGCCCTCTCTGCTTTGTGCCAATCACTCAGACCCACATGGTCCATCATTCACCATCGGTAAGGCCATATGGCTGCTGTGGGGCTTGGTATTCAACAACTCCGTGCCCGTCCAGAACCCAAGAGGCACCACCAGTAAATTCATCGTATCCGTTTGGGCCTTCTTTGCTGTCATCTTCTTGGCCTCCTACACTGCCAACCTGGCTGCCTTCATGATCCAGGAAGAGTTTGTGGACCAAGTCACTGGACTATCTGACAAAAAGGTAGGATGACACAAATGTAGACACACACACACACACACACACACACATAGAGGAAACTAAACACATTCACAGTCAGAGTTGCTCTTGTAATGGATGCCAGGCCTGCGGGAGCGCCCTCGGGCTTCACGGCCCAAACCCAGTGGCCGTAGCTGTCACCTCACTAACACTGCCAGCACAGCAGACCTACGCGCACACACACACACACACACACACACACACACACACACACAAAGGCGGCAGAGATCAAAGGGGTGTGTGTGAGTGTGTGTGTGGTTGGCAGTGTCAGCAGAACCCCAGCCAGTCTTACACTAGACTGGATACACAATGATGATGACTGATGAGTCCTCTCTGCTGTCTCTTCCCTCTCCTTTCTCCTCTGTCTCCTCTTGTCACGTTACACCCCACCCCCCCACACACACACTTTTTACATTTTCGTATCACTACTCTTTCTTCTCATTATTTTACTCTTTCTCCTGTCACTCATTTCTTTCTCTCATTTCATTCCCATCATTTGTGTCATTCTCCTGCCACGTATCGTCGTTGCCCCTCTTTAAATAACTGTCATTTCTTTTTATTTTCTCCGTTCAGTTCCAGAGCCCGTACTCCTACTCCCCTCCGTTTCGTTTTGGGACGGTTCCCAACGGCAGCACCGAGCGCAACATCAGGAAGAACTACCCGGACATGCATCAGTACATGACTAAATACCACCAGAGCGGCGTCACAGATGCACTGATCAGCCTCAAGACGGGGTAATGCAAACTTGTCAAGGCGGCTCACGTCACGTTAGGATGTCTCCACCTGAGGGTGTGATCCTGTTTGCAAACAGCACATATGTTTAAGAGAACATGAAAATAAACAAAAAAGGACAATGAAACCCAGCCCAGTGGCGCCCAGCTAGAACCAGCTGTCTCTCTGCTGAGTGTTTCTCTCAATGACGGTAAGATTCACAAATGAAGTTCCCAAGTGCCTATTATTGTACTTGAGAAAAGGGAGGCTGACAAACCAGTGAAACAGCAGCATTATCTGCCTTTTTCCTCCCTCATGAACACTCGCACTGAAAGATTTGTTCCCTAGCCTCGTGGGCTTTTAGGGATTTTCTAAAACAAACATTTTCTGCCTTTGCATTGATTAATATATGGATACAGCAAATCAAACGGAAGGAGATTTGTTCCTAACATGTTGTTTAAGCAACATCAAAACTTTATAACCAATGTGTTTCAGCAGCACCATCAATATTTCACTGACTCCATGAGCACAAATTGTTGCAGGAGGAAAATCCAAACTTCTCTTTGACGCATTATAAACAAATAAAAGGCCTTCTTTACTTAAATGAGTTTATGCTGCTTTCCAGTGCAAAACAAAATAGTATCAAACTATCTACGCAGCAACAAAAACTGCTGCCACGACAGTAGAACATGCACTCATTAAATATATGCCCTTTGGTTGAATTTGAGGTGTTTTATATTCACGCATACATATTTAAGTCAGATGGCCACAGGCTGTGTTCACTCCATTATATAAAATCATATTTCTCCTAAAAAGTTTTTTAAAAGGATTTTCTGCTACAGCAAATGGATACAACACTTTCTATCAGCCTCCAAGTCTGAATGTTTAGCTCGAAATCACGACAAAAACAAAACCTGCCAGTGAAAAAGTAACAAGTGTGTGTGAACTTTTATACTAACACACACACACACACACACACACACACACACTGGGTAGTGTTCTTATCCCGTATCAGATTTATGTGGAATATATCAGCTCAAAGAACACGAAGCAATAGTGAAACTCAATCTGAGATTACTTTTAAAGCCGCCGTACTTTATCTCCAGTTGGTTCAGTGCTGAGTGCTGTTTTTGAGCCCGCTGAGTTCAATTCCACACGGTTTTATTCTGCTGTCAGCCTCAAAACGAACAGTTTAAGAGGATATTTCCATGTTAAAGGTCCACTTCACTGAAAAACCATTTTTTAAGCAGGCTGAACGTGAAAATCTCCTGCATTAGCTTCTGATGGAAAACAGACGGTGAAACGCTAGGATTTATAAAGCCTGATAGATCCACATCACACTGTCACTTAATGTTCATTAACTCACCCATGTTGGCTCGCAGCGGGGACGTCTGTTCTTGTTTTAGCACCCAGGAAACAGCAGAGGACGTCTCAACTAGCAGAAGCTAACCATTAGCGTTAGCAACTCCACCACACAGCAGAACTCCTCCAGGCTTGTGTTATTGTGGAGACAAATCATCAACGCTGCAAGTCAGTGGGAGAGTCACATTGCTGTTATCCAATCCGAGCATGCCCCGAGCACGCCTTTCAAGGCATTCGTTCTTACCAAAGACCACTGCAAAAGTACTGATTGAACGAGTGAACCACAACTTTAAGGCATTTGTTTCTACTATAAAAAATTCAAATTAAATTCAATACAATGTAAAGAGATGGTGAGGTGTTACTATTTCTAAAAGCAACTTTTTGGCTTCATACGTTCACGAACTGCAGTTCTGAAGTGTTATAGAGATATTTAGAGGGATGGACACATTTCCCAGAAACAGAGTCTTGATGATCCCTTCTCGTTTAGCCTCATCCAGTATTCAACAAGTTTTGTCACAATTATCACCTCAAACTGTTTTTAATAGTGCTCTGCCTCCTCTGCAGCCTGAACTAATGAGCTGTCATGTCTTTATGCTCGTCTGTTACAATGTGATGGATAGTGTGTCATCAAATGTGTTTTAAATAGTTGAAGGGTTCAAGTTGCACGTTGTTCATCATCGTCAAGTTTCATAGACTGATTTCAAGTTAGGAATGTAATAATGGAAAATATTAATGTTTATATGGCTTGGTACTACACTTAGATACGTGTATTTATCAAAAGGGAAGAGCCAGCTGCTTTTGGGTAGTTGTGATAGTTTGTTTCTCCACCTGTTCAGACAACAAGAAATCCTATTCTTTGCTTAAATATGTTGCATTAACTCTACATGTACTCATGTAAACCCTAAACATTTTTGCTTAACCATTTTCTCTGTGATTTTAATGCAAAAAGCTTTAGAGGTTCTGTGCTTCACTTAATTTAACCATTAAATGAACTAATAAAAGGTTATCAGCAACTTCTGAGCTGTCCTTGTTCCAGCTGCAAACTCCGATCCTTTATTGTTGATCTTGTAAAAATGAAGATGCATTTCTCCAACAATTTTCTGAGAACAAGTCTGAGGTCAGCTTTTCCATATAGGTGCAGAAATTCACCTTATTTACAGTAAATAAATCCTGAAAGTGTCACAAAAAGGTCAGAATGACATGGAAACTGTACTGAAAAGATGAGACTAACGTAGTCTTGTTATATTTTAATGAAACCATGTTAAACACTTTGTTGAGGAAACTAAAGTATATTCTCGAGTCTTGAATCAGAAATTTTCTGTTTTTTGGTTTTTCAAATTCAGTTTTTAGCCCTCAGCTTAATGCTACTAACTCATAACATTCTCTCTGTCCTGTTTTCAAACTGAACTCACACATCTTTTTGTTTTTCTTACAGAAAACTGGATGCATTCATTTATGATGCTGCAGTGTTGAACTACATGGCGGGCAGAGACGACGGCTGTAAGCTGGTGACCATCGGCAGCGGTTACATCTTTGCCACCACGGGTTATGGAATCGCCCTGCAGAAAGGGTCCTACTGGAAACGCCTGGTGGACCTGGCCATACTCAGCATCATTGGAGATGGTGAGGCGGTCCACATAAATGAAACGTGAAGTTTTTTGTGGTTCGATGTTACCACTTGTGCTTTCTCCTCTGTGTCCTCCTTCCGCGGCGCTCCCTTCCTCCCCCATCTCCGCTTTAGAAAGCTATCAGGGGCTAGTCTTAACACAGCATTTCATCATCATTACTGTGTGTGTGTGTGTGTGTGTGTGTGTGTGTGTGTGTGTGTGTGTGTGTGTGTGTGTGTGTGTGTGTGTGTGTGTGTGTGTGTGTGTGTGTGTGTGTGTGTGTGTGTGTGTGTGTGTGCCCACCATGTCCTGTTATGTTTACTCCTCCAGACTGTTCTGAATAATAAGCTGTGAGATGGTGCGAAGGGAAGAAAGAGAACCAGACAGAAATCAAACTGCTGAAACCACTAAAGCACTTTGCTTCACACTCGCTCTTTTTATTTAGGGCAAACACCTTCAAGCCCAAGCACACAAAAACACCTTCATATTTCTTTCAGTCTTTCCTTTTCTCTCCATCACTATTAAATCCTCCTTCTCCTCCTACAGCCCCTCTTTCTCTTCCTACCACCTGTTTCCTCTCTATACTACCTACACTGTAAGTACAGACTAAGATTAATTTAATTTATTTAATTTCATCCTGATTTTATGAGTTTTAGAAAAACAAGATAATTACAAAACATTTTCACCTACCTATTTGGTTTTTCCCCTCCTTCTAGTTTGGTCTGGAAGGAAACAAAACAGCAGATGTTTAAACCAAATTTGTTGAATATATTCTTATTTGCTTTAGATTTTCCTCATCAAAGAGCAGATTTTTCTACAGCAGATTTTATGACATTTTCCAACTCCACAACAGTCATTATGCAACACCAGAATCCTATGTCAGCTCAGTTAATGGAGTCTGTGTGCAAATCTGGGTTGCAAAACATCACAAAGGCTGATTCCATGTTAAAAACACAAAAGTTACTCAGTGTAAAAATACTCAATGTCTTTGCTTGAGCAGTTTTAAAATGTGAGCTAAACTATGTTAGTTTGTAGAAAAACCTCCCGCTCCATTCTTAAACTCTCCTGTGTTTTTAATTCCAGAACTTGACAGGATATCTGAATCTTTCTGTCAGCGCTTCTCCACAGGAGCGTCCGCACACGACACCTCCGCAGACTCGGTGACTTAGGAGACAGATTTAATGCCTTCAGACTGCAACCGCTTTCAAATGTATCAGATATGTATCGGAATCAGTACCACAAGTGACCTGGATCGGATTTGAAAAAAATCTGATCTGTGCTGTTCGGGCTGTCATAAAAACAATCAGATATGGGTGACCTGTTGGGGAAGAATGGGATTTGATGCACTTTTGCCTGCAGTGTGAACGTGTCATGTTTATGGGAAGATGTTTTACCCAACACATGAAAGAATCACGCTATGGAGACGGGGCAAGTAAAAACAATATAATAATTTTTATTAAGAATGGTGAGTAACTAAGGGTGCTGCTCCAAACGGGAACAGGATGAACCGGAATCTAAAAACAAGAAGCAGACAGAAATAAGATAAACCCGGAACCACAGAACCAAGAATATGATTTGTTTTGGGGGGTAATTCTTATGGTTGATGACCAGGACTGATCAGGATGGGCTGGGTCTTTGGGACCAGGTGGGAACGGACGAATGGCAGGAGTTCAGATCCAGGACAAGACTGGGAAGCAGGTTGGGAAGCAGGCAGGCGGACGGTGGAGAGTGGAGGCCAGGGCATCCTGAGCGACGTGACGTTGGTAGACAACTCCATGTCTGCTGCGTGGTGGGGCAGTGGTTAGCGCTGTTGCCTCGCAGCACGAAGGTTGCAGGTTCGAAACTCGGCTACGGCCTTTCTGCGTGGAGTTGCGTGTTCTCCCCATGCATGCGTGGGTTTCCTCCGGGTACTCCAGTTTCCCCCACAGGTCACAACATGCCCTATAGGTTATAACTTGTAAGCTGCTTTGGATAAAAGCGTATGCTAAGTGAATAAACATAAACATAAACTCCAGGCGACAGTAGGTTCGTTCTGAGGGCAGACGAGAGGAACTTTCAGGACTCGACAACAGGCAGATCAAGACTGAGACTGGAACAGGCAGACAAAAGATTAAAGCTGGAGCAGGCGGACTAAGACTGTGGCTGGCTAGTAGTTACCCAAGGTGAGAATATCAACCGGCCCTGGAGTTGTGTCACACCGCTCCTTAAATACCCCTGGCCCTCTTATCAGGGAGCTCAGGCACAGCTGGCTCTCTGACGCGCCCACCTGTGAACACAAACCTGGGACAACTGCAGCATATTGATTGTTATTAGGAATGATCAGGGCAGACTGTGACAGAACCTAGCCTAAGTGACATGAGCTCAGTGATGTCATTCACATGCTTTGGTGCCACATCTAAACATAACAAGGGAAACAAAACAATATTTGAGGAGATTGCAAATGGTTGTAATTAGGATCAAACCTAGCTTGTATTTTGTAGCTGCTGGCATGTGTGGTGTACGGTATTATCCCAACAGACTTCTCAAACAAATGTTAGTCTTTCATGCCATAGCATCAACTCTAATGAAATCTTACTGCAAGAGGCCATGTTGTGTTGTTTTACTCCAAATAAAAGGGATCACGGTGAATTTGTCAAATGAACGTATGTAAAAGCATACTTAGAGATATTTTAAGTTGTGAGAATGATCACGAGTTTAACTTTTAGATGGTTAAAAATCTTCAAAGGTCAAATAATTCTTTGAAAAATACATATTTATAAAAGTAGCAGCTGGAAGTTTTTAACACTGGATTATCTTCCCTTCTTACACCCCCTTCCTCTTTTTCCTCTCCCTTTGTAATGGAAACATTTTCTTGGCTGATCTTTTGTACTCCACCACCTATCAGCTCACTTCTTCCCTCCTTCAGTTCCTGTGCCTTCATCCCCCAGAGTTTGTTTCCTGCTGTTTTTTTTAAATCACTTCTCTACATTTCTAACAGGTGAGATGGAGGAGTTGGAAGCACAGTGGCTAACTGGGATCTGCCACAATGAAAAGAATGAGGTGATGTCCAGCCAGTTGGATGTGGACAACATGGCGGGGGTTTTCTACATGCTTGCCACAGCCATGGGGCTTTCCATCCTCACCTTCATCTCCGAGCATCTTTTCTACTGGAGGCTGAGATACTGCTTCACTGGTGTCTGCTCCGGAAGGCCGGGCATGCTCTTCACTATTAGCAGGGTGAGGAAAATGAAAAACAGCTAACACCTTCCCTTGGATGGGGCCATTTTTAGGAGTTTAGCACATATTTGACAGCTTCAAGCAGGAGCAGGAACGGTTTGTATTTTAAATAATAATACATTTTATTTCAACAGCGCCTTTCTAAACACTCAAGGACACTTTACAGACAGAGATAAAATACACAACAATAAAAGACAGAACAGCATAAAACAAACAGACAGACTGGAGCAAACAGAGTCATTATTGGAATGCCAGACGGAACCGGTGGGGTTTTGAGTCTGGTTTGAAACAGAGTGAGGGAGTCAATGTTACGGAGGTCTGGAGGGAGTGAGTTCCAGAGCTGGGGAGCAGAGCGACTGAAGGCCCTGCTCCCCATGGTGACCAGACGGACAGGTGGGACAGAGAGGTGGATGGAGGAGGAGGACCTGAGAGAATGGGTGGAGGTTGAGGGATGAAGGAGGTTTTTTCCCTATATCCGATATACTGATATTGTCTGACTCTCAATATCCTATATAACATGAACACATGACATGAATATTAGTTGAACGTGCTGATTGTCCAGTTTATATTGGGGGGACAGCTGGAGTGAGACGAATGAGGAACGAATGAGTGTCAGGTGTGTTGTGGAGTGTGGGCTTACAGACAAACAAGGGAGAGAACAAGGACCGCGATCTATCTAGCATTTATTCAAACTATCCTTGAATCTTAATGGGGCTCCAGTATTCTTTGTTGTTTTCCTCTTCAACAAGCTGTAGTTTGAGCTAGCATACTTCTGCTGTTAGCATTATCGCATCCAACGCTGAGGTGTGTTGGAACACGCTAATATAAGACAAAGTGTATTCTGATGTGTTAAACCAACTTTTCCCAGGACAAACGGTTTCTCTGTGGCCATTTCAACGTTACTACTTTACATAGGAAAGCAGGTCAGAGACGGTGCAGATGATTAGGTATGCTACATCACACACCCCAAGCTGTCTTCATTCAGCAACAACACAGTAAATGTGGTTTAATCTTGTAGGATGACCTCAACATTTAAAAAAAAAGTCCAGGTTGTGTATAAAATATGTGCAAACTTGCACCACTGAAAACCTGCAGCAGTGAAATATGAGCTGGCATTTGTGACTCATGTGTCGGAAACAAACACAATCATCACTGTCAAGTTACAGAGCGAGTGTTTGTATGTGTGTGAGTGATAAAAGAGCAAAGAGGGGAACGGTTTTAATGTAGAGTCCGGCTGAGGCAGAGACGGATTTACTGCTGCGCATATGGACTCAAGGATAAAGAAATAAAACTGCCAAAGGGATGATAAAACTAACTCACACACTCATGTATGCTGCACACACAAGGCCCCGCTGTTCTCTTTCGACACACACACAAACTCACAAGTAGGTCTTGGAGAGTAAAAATGGTTCCACGTATGCAAGTGGGCTAGGTTGAGTCGACCACAGATGGACAGACAGATTCACACACACACACACCTTAATGTACATGCGGAGCACAAATGGGCATACCAAGGCAGACCGTGTTTTCATTATTCATGCATGATGCCTCTGTTTTAGGCAGGGCTTTTATTCCAGACGAGCAGCATTTCACACATTAAGTGTCTTACAAAGGAAGTGTGGTGCGTTTTTACGAGTGAGTGTGTGTGTGTGTGTGTGTGTGTGTGTGTCTGTCTCTTGGCATGCACATGCTGTTAGAGCAGCGATGCTGGAGGTTAAGTGGCTGTACGAGGAACAACTCCTTTCACTCAGAGGGCCCCCTCCAGTGACATCATCCCTTAAATTTAATTTACTAGACACCTCTGAAGCAGTTTGTCTAAAAAAGTGGCGATTATCTCTTCTAGCCACTCTGCAAAACAAAATGAGGTTAGGGTTTGGAGCGAACGCACTTGAGAGACGATGTCAGGGTCTCCATCATGACTCCACAAGGAAATTAGTTTTGCACATGCCTGAACTTTTCTGGGAGAAGTCACTGGTTGGTAAATTACCTTTACTTTTTGATTATCTTTTATATCTTCCTCATTCCCCATCCTTCATTTCCTCACCCTCTTTCGTCTTTTTAATTTCCCCTCCTCTCCTCCTCCCAGGGCATATGGAGCTGTATCCATGGAGTTCATATAGATATGAAGAAGAAGGCGCCTGAGCTGGACTTTAGTCCTCAAGCCAACATGCTGCACTTACTCAAGTCTGCCAAGTCTATCGCTATGTCTTCGCCCAAGCGCAACACCGTCCTCCTGCAGCCGAGCATCCTAGAAATGATGTCGGGAAAAGGTACGGAAGATCTCTTTGTGAGGACATACAGAGGGGACACACGTGTCCTTGTTGTGGTGCCCGGGCTGTAATCAGACTGACTTATGTGTGGCTCGTGATTAAAAAGGCAGAAAGCACACACTGCATCCCAAAGCAGTAGATAATGCATCCGCGAACTGGCTGAGCAGACATCCATTTATTGTATCTGTTGTCTGAGGAGCATGTCTTCTTGTCTCCTAGGTAACTCACTCCATAGTCTGCCTCAGAAGGGTCCCGGTCTCTATAGCAACGCTGCAGGTCCACAGGCTTTCCTGTCATTGTCCGGGAGACATAAAAACCACCTTAATAATGCTGCACCATTTCCCGGACAACAAGTCCCCGCTCATCCGACCAGCCCCAACAAGCCTCAGCTGTCTATCACCAACGACAACGGCAAGAATCGCCTGCCTGGGCCAGCCATCTCCGCATCAAAGCCACGGGCCCTGTGGAAGAAAAGCGTGGAGACACTGAAGACACAGCCAAGTGTCACATCGCAAGGCCCAAGCCCCACCCCACCCTCGGGGAGTGGGCCTCCAACAATGAAAAGCCAGCGCTACCTGCCCGAAGACCCGCAGCACTCTGACATGTCGGAGTGTTCAAGTCGGCCACCGTCGCACAAAGATTCTGACTCCATGGCGGCGAGGGGCGGATTTAAACCTATTAATCAGCTGAGGAAGAGGGGTGGAGGTGGAGGAGGCGGTGGAGGTGGAGGAACTAAGATTTACTCCATTGACTCTGACCAGGCCAGCCTCCAGTCTGTTCCTCCTTACCAGAGGGACAGCCAAGGGGGAGGTGACGACCACAGTTACCCACCTGACCTGTTTCCTCCTGAAAGCACTTACTCACACTCCCACCAGTCAGACGCGCCGATCATGCAGCTGAGCGCCAGCCTTCTGCACCACAGTCACAGTGCTGAGGCTGACCTTCACTCCCTAAAGGACAAGAAATACAGCACCTACACCCACAGCAGGTAGGGCACGCCCTAGACAAATAACCAAACACAGATCCCAGTGCTTCAGCTGTTTGTTTAACGAGTGTTGTTCTCTTTCCAACCAGTGTGAAGGATAAATCTGGGAGTTCGTTTGATGCCCCAGGAGGAGGTCTGGGGACACAAGGCTCCAGGCCCGGTCACTGTCGCACCTGCCTGACCAAACTGGGGGGTTTCTCTGGTCTTTACACTGTCCGCTCACCACAAACCCGCTGCGATGCCTGCGCCCACCTGGGAAACCTGTACGACATCAGCGAAGACCACCTGCACTCGCACTACTCCAGCACTCACCCACACAGCGGGGACATTTTTACCCACTACCATCCTCAGAGCGAGCTGGGTCTCGTGGGCGAAGGGGACGGCCTCATCAGCCACTTTGAGCCCACCCCTTCCTCGCCGTCTCCCATCCCCACCCCCTCGTCCGCTCAGCACCTCCAGCTGAGTCGCCAGCACTCCTACGAGAACATGCTTCCAGACGGCATTCCAGAACGGCAGTCGCAGCCTCACACCCACACGCGAGGACTGAGCCTGCCTGACAGAGATCGGGATAGAGAGCTGACTCTGGATGATGGAGCTTATGCCAATGTTCTCACAATGCGCTCCGATCGTCCTTACAGCAGCCGCAGCCCCCCTTCCCCTTCCCCCTCGCACCACCACAGTCTGGACGCCCCGATGCCTCTTTCACGGCGCTCCAAAAGCCTGTTGCCTGATCGCCCATCGCACAATCCCTTCATGCAGTCAACCCCCGGCACAGCACAACGAGACCCGGCCTCCCAGGCTGCCGCTCGCATGCCACAGAGAAGTTCCACCCACGAGCTCTATAAGCAGAGAATGCCGATGACGCTCACCCTGGGAAACCATGGCAGCCATCTCATCAACCAGCATGGTGGTCATGTCGACCAACAGGTGTTCTACCCTCAGCAGGAACCTCCTGTGGTGGCCTACATGGTCCCACCTGCTGCCGCTCAACCAATGAGCTATGTGACAGCGCCGCGAGCCTCAAGCGCAGGCGGCAACCGGCCCCGGCTGTACCGCCGCATGCCCAGCATCGAGTCTGATGTCTGAGAGGCACGAACGACACACTTAATCTCACAGAAACACACTCACACGCAAGCATGCAAGTAAGAGGTGTGTGCGACAGGTTCAGGCAGTCTCTGATTCTAAGCACATATTGAAAACCACACACACACACAGACACACACACTAGTGACAGACTGAAAGGTCAGCACTGGACTAAGAGGTAAACACTGCTACTGAGTGAACAAATCATTGCTTCTTTATCACATCCTTTATAGGGAAGCAGAGAGGCTACAGGGACATCTGGAGGCACAGTGTGAGATGAGTGGTGTGTGTGTGTGTGTGTGTGTGTGTGTGTGTGTGTGTGTGTGTGTGTGTGAGTGTCACAGTGTGTACTAGCATCAAGCTGTGGGCAGTGGGGCACAAACTGACAATGTGTCCGACATAAACAGATGGAAGCCCCGGTGGAATAAGAAGGACACTGTAGCTGGAGTTGAACAGTGGGATCAGATGTGGGACACGGCAGAGCGTTCGGAAGACGAGCCAACCCGTCCCACCCTCTCTCGGAGATAAAACGGGGGTCAAAGGAAAAAAAACTCTATTATTCTGATATTTTACACACACACACACACACATACAAGTCACCGGAAACAACCCCCCACCCCCACCCCTTGTCCTTCCTCTGGGATTTTCCTGTTGCACTAGGATTTCAACAGTCAACCCACACGTTGTCTGAGCCTCCAAAACTGCACTGCCGGCATGGTTTAAAGAGCAGTCAACTACACTAATCTGTAACGTGAATGGAAATTGCTATCTATGTGAAATGTAGACAGGGGGGGTCAGGAAACACACCTGAGACGTCCGCGCCTCCCTGCAGAAGGCTGTACAAACACTTGAACACACACAAACACAATTAAAAAAGAGATGCCTGTTTTTTTAAGGGAAAGATAAAACTTCAGACTGTTTATTGTTGATGTCAGCTAATTGAACATTCCAAAAAATATACATAATTTCAAAGTGGAGCGAATGTGGCCACTCATAAAAGCTTCTCAGGATGAGAGTGTGTGTTCTTGTGTTTCTAGATCTAAAGACACACTACGGCATCCTTGCTTCCTCTCTTAGCTAGCCTTCAGGTCTTACTGCATGCTTCCTACTGCCCTGTGTTCCAGTTAAACTCCTCTACAGGGTCAAATATGCTCACACGTACACCGGAACAGGCACACGATGCACTCACGCTCACACACATGCACTTACGCGATAGTCTAGGATCGTAGATTAGAGTGGGTGTGTGTGTGAAGCAATCAGATAGCTTCTCTTTGTGCAGTTTGTAGATTTTAAACCCTGCCACCCACACAGACGTTTGACCAAAAACACTTTTATACAGAAAAAATATGAATATTCTCAATCACTCGCTGGATAGATGTTTTCTTTTTCTTTTTTCTCTTATTTAGAACATCGTAAAAGGGCACCGCTCTGTCAAGTTTCCAGATTCAAGAGCTTTACAGTGTTAGATAACGGTTAAATCATCATGCAAACAGTAAACACAACACAAAATCTTTCTCTCTCATTCCTACTTTTAACCACGCTCATTCCTCCTTCTAACCTTTCTACCTTTTCTCATCTGATTATTTTAGAGTTTTTTTCTGTCAATTACTTCTCTTTTGCTCTTTCCCTGCTTCCGACTGTAGAGTAGATAAAATATCAAAAGAGTAAAGTTCAGTCTTGGTGTTTGAAAACTCCACGTGTTGCTGAGAATCGCCTGATATCGGTAGCTGTGAGAACTCATCTGATTCAGCACCGCGTCTCCTAGGATACGGTGTTGTTCATAATAACTTTCTATATTGAACAAAAAAGGATTTGAGGCCTGTTTGATGTTTTTCGTGGTGAATTTTGGGACTTGAGTGTGATGCAGGTTTTACTCATCAGATTAAATCTTCTGAACGAGCATCCGGTGCCGCTCGCGCATGGCGCTCCGCTGGTGAGGGCACGACGCTGCATTTTAACAGAGACACGTGGCAGAGCAGAGTTTGTAAAGTGACTCGTTACAGAGGCAACACACACACTCGACAAGCTGGCAAAGTGAGTTTGAGTGTTTTAGAGATCCATAATCTACTGAGTAAGGGCATTGATTTTTTAGCACAAGGATTTTGATGGAAACTGGACTTGATATCCCATTAGCTGAGTGTCTGTCTCTATTCTCTCTTTTGCTATTCTCCTTTTCTCTCTCACACCAACAAACACACTCACTTTTATACAGTCCATTAGTGTCAAAGAAAGCAAAACAGTCTGAAACAAAAGAAATGCACCTTTAAACGGTGAGTGCTGCCCCTCTTTTTGGTAACAGGTAGGTTGTGTGAGTTATATGCACAATATCAGGTCGCAATATTATACTTCTGTACAAAGAAATCTTGTTTTAAATGTTAGAAACTGATTTCATTTGTTTTATTTGAACATTATTAAGTATTGATCTCATTTCAAATACATAGTGTTATTTTTATTTATTCTGCTTTTAGAAACAAAAAGAAAGGCATGTTTTAGATTTTTCTGTGATTTTATTTTCCTGGAGCTTCGTTGGTTGGGACCTCACTGTACAGTTGTCGCAGCTGGGTTAGTCACCTATGTGGGTCATCTAACCAGTTAACTCACTCCACATCGCTGGGTCTGAATCACACTCAGTGACGGTCCAGCCGGTGCAGCAGAAACAAAAACCCCCATTCCACCCACAGTGTACTCCTCCACAACGAGTCTGTGCTGTTCCTTCTCTGAGAGAGAGAGAGAGAGAGAGAGAGAGAGAGAGAGAGAGAGAGAGAGAGAGAGAGAGAGAGAGAGAGAGAGAGAGAGAGAGGGAGAGAGAGAGAGAGAGAGAGTGTGCATGTGTGTGTGTGTGTGTGTGTGTGTGTGTGTGTGTGTGTGTGTGTGTGTGTGTGTGTGTGTGTGTGTGTGTGTGTGTGTGTGTGTGTGTGTGTGTGTGTGTGTGTGTGTGTGTGTGTGTGTGTGTGTGTCTTTCGTCCTACACTCAACATTTGACCTTGCTGTTATTCACACAACACAAAAACAGTTGCACACACACACAAATACACACGAGTCTGTACCGCTGTGGTTTCCAGAGCATTTAGAAGGATTTTTGTACGTCCACCATCACAGAAATGATTACACCATCTTTAGTTTTAGTTTCGTTTCTACTTTTACTTTAACTGCATGACGTACTCGTGTTTCTGATGGTACCTATTTTGCTGCAGCACCTGGTTCCTCCCTGAGTCGGACCTTCTGGGCTACATGCACTAATATTTACCCCCTCCACCATGACTGTACCAGCACACCACTTCAGGTCCAAACCCTAAACCCTGTGATGTGAGCAACGTGACACCTGGCTGGCTCTCGCACAATGCCAGCCACTATCATGAAACTTGTTCAAAAGCATTTCCAGACACTGCTGACTTTTTTAGATTGGCCCACCTGTTCCTGCATACAGTACTGAGTGGAAGGGGTGTGTTGGTGTGTAGTCCTGTGGGTCTTCCTGCTGTGTATCAAACTTGTGTATAAGTTCAGGGGTTTCAAAGCTACTAGTTGTGTTGTAAATACTACCTTATCACTCAGTACCTCTGTACAATCTGTAAATAAGTAAAGGTTACATTTTTCTAATGGTCTGAGTCTTGTAATCTTTTTTTCTATATACCTGCTAGCTGGATCACACAGTCCTTACAGGCACACACCATCCATTAGACAAAGGTCAGAGTTTGTGTGGAAGTGTCCAGACTGGCTGCATTTACAAACATTGTCATTTTGGGGGGAAATGAGAGAATGCTGACTCCCACACCAAGTAAAAAGCAATGAAAACATCCTACTTTTTAAGTGAGTTTGTAAAAACAAGTGAGTGTAAACACAGGATGAGGGTAGGATAATACTTATTTTACTTGCACACATGTTTATCATGGCTGCCTCGTGCGTCTGTTTGAAGTGTTGTTTGTGCAAATCCATTTGAAATTAATGTGGTGTTGGCAAACTGCAATATGCAAGTAACCAGTAGGGGGAGTTGCCAAAACGAGCAAGGCATGTTTGCCATTGTCACACCGTCTCTGGTTTAGAGGTCTCACATTCCATCTACGATATCGTCTTTTTTTCTGTTGTGATCTCAAAATTCCCCAGTTTATGATCTCTTCTCTTGTTGCCATATTTGTTTTGTTTGTACCCTACAAAGGTCTCTATCCGGTCTGAGTTCTGTAATGTGCCCCCTAGCCAAATACTTCAGTACAACGTGCAGTACAAAAGCTCGTAGTGTCAAAACCTAGTAGGACAAGGGTCAAAATTATTAACCACTAAGTTCACTTAATTTTTCAACACATTTGTAGCGGTTTCCTGTGAAAATGAATGCCTTGTGAGTTGATATCTGTGGGGGAAAAGTGATCCTCTTTTAGGTGAGGAGAAGAAGACAAGTTTTGGAGTCTTTTTTTCCCTGAGATGTTTACATTTCTCCTCTGATTGGTAAACAGCAACATGACCTCCACTGACTCCATTTGCTCTGCAACGTTGATGTTGTGTCTCCACAAATAACACAAGTCTGGAGGAGTTTTGCTGTGTGGTGAACTTGCTAATGCTAATGGTTAGCATCTGCTAGCTGAGACATGCTTAGCAAATAAGATCAAATTTTAAACACAAATTGCTTCATTCTTGTACCAAGACCAAAACTTTAGAAAACTCACCAATATTCCAATTGTTCTTAATTATCACTGGTATCATTGATGAAAATGTGCATACAAGGTATGCCATCCATCCATCCATCCATTTTCATCCCCTTATCCGGAGTCGGGTCTCGGGAGCAGTAGCCTAAGTCGAGAGGCCCAGACTTCCCCCTCCCCAGCCGCTTGGGCTTGCTCCTCCGGGGGAATCCCACGGCGTTCCCTGGTCAGGTGAGAGACATAAAAGGTAAGTTCATTATAAATGTTGATTTATTTCTTAAATGTTGACTGTTTTACATGCAGCATCTAGGCACAATATTTGAATCTTTCTAGTTTATGTATTTAAAGATTACAGTAGAGTGTTTTCCTTTTCACCATTAAAGGAATATTCCACCCAAAATTGAAATGTTGACTGTTGACATATTTCCCAGTGTTTGATAAGTGGGGAAAAACATATTTGTAACCAGCTCTGTCATTCTCCTGGGGCTGTACTCCTTTAGCTTTAGCTTAGCATAAAACACAGTAAGTGAATGGATCCAACTAGCATTGTGAGGAAAAACTACCCTAAAATAACTCAGTAGACATCCCAATTCTGCTTGATGACCTAAATAATCAGACTCTGTTACTAATTACTTTCACTTGAAGTCCAAGGAATCTCAGGCGCCATTTTAGACTTGGGACTACTTGGTATCTAACTCTGGGAAATATGCAAAAAAAAAATTATACTTCACAAATATTAAATTTTGGGTGGCGTATCCCTTTAATGGTTTTCAGAGGTTTGAATCATTTCATAAGTTTGAAATCCAGTCTGAAGCATGACTCCAAGATATTTCCTCCTCGACTTTCCAGACTTAGATGGTTTTGGCTTCTGTCTGCTACAGGTTAGTGACTGATAAGCTCTCTCTACTTTAAGAGAAGCCCAAAAAATTCTTTAAAATAAAATTTGAACATTACAAATACAATTTTTTGAGATATTACTGGTCAAATTATGCTGAAGGATGATCAAAAAAACTTAGCATTCTACTACATCTTTTTTATTGGTTTGTTATTCTTTCATACAGGTGGGACTCGGGAAATTAAAATACAGTGGGGCAAAAAAGTATTTAGTCAGCCACCGATTGTGCAAGTTCTCCCACTTAAAATGATGACAGAGGTCAGTAATTTACATCATAGGTACACTTCAACTGTGGAAGACAGAATGTGAAAAAAAATCCATGAATTCACATGGCAGGATTTTTAAAGAATTTATTTGTAAATCAGGGTGGAAAATAAGTATTTGGTCAATAACAAAAATTCAACTCAATACTTGTAACATAACCTTTGTTGGCAATAACAGAGGTCAAACGATTACTATAGGTCTTTACCAGGTTTGCACTCACAGTAGCTGGTATTTTGGCCCATTCCTCCATGCAGATCTTCTCGAGAGCAGTGATGTTTTGGGGCTGTCGCCGAGCAACACAGACTTTCAACTCCCTCCACAGATTTTCTATGGGGTTGCGGTCTGGAGACTGGCTAGGCCACTCCAGGACTTTCAAATGCTTCTTACGGAGCCACTCCTTTGTTGCCCTGGCGGTGTGTTTGGGATCATTGTCGTGTTGGAAGACCCAGCCACGTTTCATCTTCAAAGCTCTCACTGATGGAAGGAGGTTTTGGCTCAGAATCTCACGATACATGGCCCCATTCATTCTGTCCTTAACACGGATCAGTCGTCCTGTCCCCTTAGCAGAAAAACAGCCCCAAAGCATGATGTTTCCACCCCCATGCTTCACAGTAGGTATGGTGTTCTTGGGATGCAACTCAGTACTCTTCTTCCTCCAAACATGACGAGTTGAGTTTATACCAAAAAGTTCTACTTTGGTTTCATCTGACCACATGACATTCTCCCAGTCCTCTGCTGTATCATCCATGTGCTCTCTGGCAAACTTCAGACGGGCCTGGACATGCACTGGCTTCAGCAGAGGAACACGTCTGGCACTGCAGGATTTGATTCCCTGCCGTTGTAGTGTGTTACTGATGGTGACCTTTGTTACTGTGGTCCCAGCTCTCTGCAGGTCATTCACCAGGTCCCCCCGTGTGGTTCTGGGATTCTTGCTCACCGTTCACATGATCATTTTGACCCCACAGGATGAGATCTTGCGTGGAGCCCCAGATTGAGAGAGATTATCAGTGGTCTTGTATGTCTTCCATTTTCTGATAATTGCTCCCACAGTTGATTTTTTCACACCAAGCTGCTTGCCTATTGTAGATTTACTCTTCCTTGTTTGAAGTGACCAAATACTTATTTTCCACCCTGATTTACAAATAAATTCTTTAAAAATCCTGCCATGTGAATTCATGGATTATTTTTCACATTCTGTCTCTCACAGTTGAAGTGTACCCATGATGTAAATTACTGACCTCTGTCATCATTTTAAGTGGGAGAACTTGCACAATCGGTGGCTGACTAAATACTTTTTTGCCCCACTGTATAATGCAAAAGTTAATTTATGTCAATAATTACACTTAAAAGACTAAACTAATCTATGAGATAGGATCATTACATGTAAGCCAGATATTAATGAATCCTGAGCCTTTAGATGGTCTCTCAGTCTATGTTGAATCACTGTAATAAATATACTTTTGCACCATATTCTCATTTTTACAGTTTCACCCAAACTTCAAATACACATTTAAATTTTTGTTTATATATTTAGGAGAAAATGTCTGCCTGTTCCTCTCCTATCGCAATTTTCTATCACTATTCAGAGACGAGAGCTTTCTGGGATTGTGCTGTAAAAGGGCTCTCTGCTCCACTCCTCATAGGCTTTCAGAAAGCACCCTGTGTGCATGGGCCGTGCGTGTGTATGTGTGTGTGTGTTTAGATCAGTGTTCTGGTAAAAAAAAAGCTTTATTTTTATATTTTTGTCTCCCTCAGGAGACGGACGCTCTAATCTGGGCTGAAGTGGGACAAGAGAAGGGAGCACACAGACACACACTCTCACGCATTCTACTAAAAAATCAGCACACGGAGGCTGGAGGATCTGTCACAAGTCATAGACCAGCTGCAGCCCAAAGGAAAGGAGGAGAGAGGGGAACAAAGCTGTGAGGAGTCCTGCCTACTTCTTTCTTATGGCTTATGTGGAAAACAACCAAAAACAGACCACCGAGTGTCGACGCCGGCCGGTACGAGTGTGTGAAAACGAGCGTAAGCATTTGTGTAGCCTCCTCAGAGATGGGGCGTGAGGACCACAGCGGCCTAATTCTTCCTGACGTGATCCATCTGCTCATATCTAATGGACAGAGTAACAACACACACTCCGACACAAGCCTCTACCTCTTATTTAATTAATAGAATTGAGCCGCCCCACATGGCAGGCTGTAATGCAATTACTGTTACACAGCGGAGTAGAATACATGTCCCCCCACAGTAACATACAACACGTAACACACTCACAAATTACATGTGCATATTCCCACGGATACACAGATGCAGTCTAATGTCCACACACACACACACACACACACACACACACACACACACATCAGGCAGGGCATTCTACCACATATAGCAGTACTCTAGGGGAGTGAGATGAAGCAGATAAATGAAGATAATTAATTTCCTGGATTAAGACCGTCCCCATCTGAGCAACCCCGCGGCTGAAGAGTAGTCAGAAGGAAAACAAGAGGGGTAAGTCAGAAAAAAGTGGATGATGGAGGACGAAGAGGGTGATAGCACTGACTCTGACAGGCCTGCTGTAGGCTGTTCCCAAGACTCCAAACATCCTCATTAACCAGCAGCTTGCCTACACACTTAACACGTGTGTTTGCGCGTGTTCTTGTGCTCTTAAACTGCTGTGATTTTGTATGAGTGTGTGTTTGAGTGTGTGTTGGAGATAGCTTGAAGAAGAGGGGAGAGATAGAGAGCTGCATGTCAGCCTACACACCAAACAAACCTATGAAAATTCATAAGGACCTGGCTACGCCTAC